ATTAGCCTCCTTTCTTGTCTCCGTTACCAAGGCCCTATATTAGAGTACTTTAGATGACCATGAATGTGTTGTTGGGTTACCTGGAGGATGCGCATTTCTGTTTGTTGAAAAACCTTGACTCGTCTGATACTAAGTCTGTTCAGTTGGACGCGTCAGTTTCTTCGTTGTAAAGTGTGGCCAGGTTTATTATGATAACTACTAGACTCTACCATCAGTATGCTTGGCGTTGTAAATTCATGTTTTAAGGACACAATTCATCCCTATCATGCGTCACACATTTTTGTACATACCGGAAATTACGTTTTCCACGAAATAATGACGTAACGCCAACGACCGATGACGTAAGCGACAGGTCTGTTCCTGTCCCGGAAGTGACGTCATCTTGTTGTGCATACTGTCTCACGCATTGAGTAACTGATTGTATCTTGCCACGTCTGGTGGTACAATGGCTAGATTTAATTGTCTTTTTATTGTTTCAGATTATTTCATGCCAGAGGGTATTACATTTATATTTATATCGATTGTTTAAGTCATGAATGTGGTTGTTTTGAATTAAATGATTCAATGATGTAAACTATGTCATCGATTAAAACTTCCTTAAAATATGTGTTTTTTGTTTTCTATTAAAACTGTACAGAATAAACAAATGATGACGGATTTATAAAAAGACTTTGCTCATGGAAGTTCATCTCAGTAAGAAGTGTTTCCTGCATAACAGAACGCGAATCGATAATATTAACGTCTGACACAGTTGTATATTTTTTAGTTTGGACAAATTCAATTTCGTATAAGACAATGTCATTGAAAGCTGCTAAGTAATGGAAGGTATTCACTGAACGAGCGATCGTTTAAACATCCCAGGATTATCGGAGTAAAACTGTCGGTTAACAAACAATCAGGAGAGTTGAGATAGAGGGAGAGTTGGGGTAACAGGAGAGTTGAGATAGAAGGAGAGTCAAGGTAACAGGAGAGTTGAGATAGAGGGAGAGTCCAGGTAACAGGAGAGTTGAGATAGAGGGAGAGTCCAGGTAACAGGAGAGTTGAGATAGAGGGAGAGTCCAGGTAACAGGAGAGTTGAGATAGAGGGAGAGTCCTGGTAACAGGAGAGTTGAAATAGAGGGAGAGTCCAGGTAACAGGAGAGTTGAGATAGAGGGAGAGTCCAGGTAACAGGAGAGTTGAGATAGAAGGAGCGTCCAGGTAACAGGAGAGTTGAGATAGAGGGAGAGTCCAGGTAACAGGAGAGTTGAGATAGAAGGAGAGTCCAGGTAACAGGAGAGTTGAGATAGAGGGAGAGTCCAGGTAACAGGAGAGTTGAGATAGAGGGAGAGTCCAGGTAACAGGAGAGTTGAGATAGAAAGAGAGTCCAGGTAACAGGAGAGTTGAGATAGAGGGAGAGTCCAGGTAACAGGAGAGTTGAGATAGAGGGAGAGTCCAGGTAACAGGAGAGTTGAGATAGAAGGAGCGTCCAGGTAACAGGAGAGTTGAGATAGAGGGAGAGTCCAGGTAACAGGAGAGTTGAAATAGAGGGAGAGTCCAGGTAACAGGAGAGTTGAGATAGAAGGAGCGTCTCGGTAACAGGAGAGTTGAGGTGGGATGGGGGTGGCGCTGGCGATGGCGCTGGCGCTGGCGGTGGCGCTGGCGGTGGAGTCCAGTGGCACTCAAACAAAACCACAAACACTTGATTAAAACTATTCCTAATATTTTAGTTTAACACCCAAATCAGTATGTTCTCAATATGCAGAATGTCAGATTTCGGATATGTATTTATTTTGTATTTATCGGTACGATTATTCAGCAAAAGGACTATAATGTCATGATGATTGAAATAAATTAGAAAATCATATTGACAACCAAACAAAACAAGTAAGCTGGGAAAGAGTACTCGGCTTCACGATAATCATCACTTGGTTGTAAACATAACGTTCAGTCGGTTGCCAGTTCAACTCCATGCATTAGCTGTTGGCCGCCCAAGCACAGTGTGGAACTCTTGACTGATTGGAACGATAGTATAGAGACTTCCGCGAACAGGCTATCGCTGTGAGGAGCTTGTGGCCTCCTTTCTTATCATATGTTGAAGTCACGGTAAGGTAAAGTAAATAATAAACAGAGAAGCATCCATATTAGGTTCCCATCATGCACGGTGTCAAAGATGGATAGAGTAGCCTCCCTTGCAATGAAACATTCACCAAGCTGACGGATGTGTTATGTGAAAACTTGTATTTTGAACTGTTGTCAGCAATATATCTGACCCGTCAATCGCAGATAAAGGACACTTTGTTTCGGTTTGAGTGTCCAAATAGTCGCCTCACGAGTAAAATAAAATGCGTACGCGTGTGTTAAGAAATTCGTTCGAAATAGCTTGTAGCTATGTATTGCTACGCTTTCACTAGAATAACTTTGTTATCTGTAATTTGATAGAAACGAATAACTCCATTTAAAGTGATAAGGAGAGCCAGTGATGGGGTATTCAGAACCTGAGGAAAATCTAGACTTGCTTTATATGGATTTTGCATTACAGAAAGGACTGGGCGAAAGGACAGACAACAATTTCACTGTCCGACAACCATCGGTCGCTAATCCATAGCTACGATTCACGCCTTCCGTGATCACAAGAAATACCTGCTATGAGGAGAGTCCATTGTTTCGACCGTATAATGTACATGTGTTTATGAATCATTGTCAAATAGTGATGACACCGGGTGTTTATGAATCACTGTCAAATAGTCATGACACCAGGTGTTTATGAATCACTGTCAAATAGTGATGACACCGGGTGTTTATGAATCACTGTCAAATAGTGATGACACCGGGTGTTTATGAATCACTGTCAAATAGTGATGACACCGGGTGTTTATGAATCACTGTCAAATAGTGATGACACCGGGTGTTTATGAATCACTGTCAAATAGTGATGACACCGGGTGTTTATGAATCACTGTCAAATAGTCATGACACCGGGTGTTTATGAATCACTGTCAAATAGTGATGACACCGGGTGTTTATGAATCACTGTCAAATAGTCATGACACCGGGTGTTTATGAATCACTGTCAAATAGTGATGACACCGGGTGTTTATGAATCACTGTCAAATAGTGATGACACCGGGTGTTTATGAATCACTGTAAAATAGTGATGACACCGGGTGTTTATGAATCACTATCAAATAGTGATGACACCAGGTGTTCGCGAAAGGTTAAGCGATGCTGCTTTTGCACATTACCGTGGACATTTTTATACACTGGTTCCAAAACCATTTGCCTTTATATACAGCCAAATGGAAATGTATTTTGTGAAAAGATATAAACCTGTAAACGCAATTATACGAGGTGGAATTTTCGGACGGGGTCAATTTGTCTAAAAATAGTTCCGTACATTCCTGTGAGTGAGAAACCCCATTCGTGACCAACTCGTGTTATTCCGGGACAAGTCGAATAGCGACTCGTGTCCCTCTCATGGCCATTTTTGCGACCGGGTTCCGTCTTAGCGCAAACGGGCATACCTAAACCAATTGTCAACTCGTTGCGTAATGGTTCACATATCTTTCCCCATATATTTTTTATATTTCAGATGCAATTTAAAGCACATCGGGACATGCGAAGTAATACAGTATGACTGAACACATTTAACTGTGTCTTGGGTATATTTTTAGATGCAAGACATATGTAAAATCAAAAATTATATCTGACGGATTCTTTGACGAAGAACTTGAAATCATACGCGCATTCTGATTGGTTTGTCGTATTTTCGCACATAACATTCATCGATAGGGGGACCAGTCTTCTTGCAGGTTACGGAAAGGGGCGAGTGGTGACGAATGTGAGAAACCCATATGAGATGACTGGTACCAAACAGGCGTGAGAATTCCAGGTCCGTGATTGGCTACTCCATGGTGATGACCTAATGTCAGAATATGGCGGACTACTTTCCTGATTGTAAATCATTGAAGTTACTGGTGCTTCCGTCGGATTCAGCTACATCTGTTTCGAAACTTTGTGGTTTCAGAGCGGTAATAAATTTTACTTGATCTTATATAGTTTGCATTATCATCATCGCCTTGGTAATCCACAGACATGACGAAAACATGTCTGTGGAGGGTCACATTCAGTGTAAGTAGCATGTACCAACACATCTCGCTTCGTTCCAACAGTTTACAATGCGGTTAGGGGAGGTCGGGTAGCCTAGTGGTTAAATCGTTCGCTCGCCACGCCGAAGACCCGGGTTCGATTCCCGACATGGGTACAATGTGTGAAGCCCATTTCTGGTGTCCCCGGCCGTGATATTGCTGGAATATTGCTAAAAGCGCCGTAAAATCATACTCACTTACAATGCGGTTGTCATTAGTTTTTAATGGGGAAAACAATATATACCAAGCTGAAAAATCGATAAATGTCCTATCAAAAGCTAAAGAAAACGCAAATCGAAACTTTATCTATACAGTTTCATTCATTCATGATACAAGGATGAAAGAGTTATATTGCGGGAGGTAACTCCTGCGCACTTCCTGTGTATCCATTAACTTATTTTGCTGTAGGAATGAACGGCCGTCTTTTTTTTTTTTTTGCAACAGAAATTATTTCCGGTCACTGCTCCAAGCCATACTTCAAGACATGCTTTAAGACATGCTTTAAGACATGCTCCAAAGTATCCCTGAAAGTAGCCGAAATATTTTCTTTCACATTTTTATCAGGACTAGTTTGACGATGTATCTGTAGATCTAAGGCAACACCAATATTTGATCTTGGCATAAATCTTTGACAATTAACACCCGACAATACACACCCAACACTGCCTTCCACCACAACATACAGCCAACGACAGCCGATTTAACCTACCCGCAATCTTTGACTCGATTTCCCAAAAGACAAACTCCCTACCATACTCTCAATCCCAACCCACACCTTCCCTCTCAAAAAATACCCACAAAACACACATACAACAATACCCTACCCTGCCCCAACCTACCCCTGTGAATTTTAGGACAGAAAAGACAAAGAAGCATTTGGTAAAATCAGGTTTATTCCGTGGAATGGTCAAGCAGTAAAGGGTACTGTGTAGTCAACATGAATATGAATATATATTACCAAAGAAACATTGGAAACAGCAGTGGTTATGTTAGGGATCGTCTCAAAATCATCGAATTCAAAAGCAAGATGTTTGTTCACCAAAGTATGACATGTTGTGTCTACATACTACATGTAATATGAAATTTGATGAAAGCAAATAATGCGACTGTTTAAAGTTGCATTCCTCAAATTGAATATTATCGTTCATACTCAAAGAGGAAAATGATCACGTAGTCAATACTGAAGCAATTTGTTGATATACGTTCAACTCGCGTCTTGTCAGTAATATTTGGAAGAATATTTCTTTTCTCAAAATTCACTTATTCTGACGAGGGTGTAGGTACATATTTATATAATCTCGTGTCCCGTTTAATAAAAACTCTTACCTCGAACAAACGATGTTCTCAAATTATTGAATGCATAGAAACATTTTTTACCTCGAAGGTTTTTGTAGTCAAAAGGAGAAATCCTTTCCTACAGTTTTACATACGAGTCCTCTATCATCCAACCCTTTTCTTACAAACCTGTGGGTGAGAAAACCGTTTGAGATAACTGGGATCAAACACTACCAGATTCAAGTCCAGGTCCATGGTTGGCTGCTCCATGGCGTTGACCTGAGGTCAGATTATGACGGACTACTTTCCAGACTGTAATTGATACGTTTCTCGATCCTATGTATGAGTGGTAAGCAGTAAGCCGGATGACGTTACTCATGACGATTGTGGTATGTATCAATGCGCCACTGCGATCATGGGAATAGACACAATATGCATCAATTCGGTGCTAAAATGGTGCGATTCTAGCGTGTGACAGATTATTGCACTCGTGCCTGTCATATAATATTTAATATTTATCTTAAAACTAGTTGTTTCAAAAGATACGTTTTGAAACGACGAATCCTTGTTATATAAGTGGTATATGACAGCACCTCGTGTAGTAATGTCTACATCTAAATACTGATTTAGAAATTTATCAACAACACCTACTTCTTTTGGCAGTAACTCGAAGTAAAAATAGAAGTTCTAATTATTTCCTTGTAAACAGACATGACGGAAATTATTTATGCGTATAAACACAATACGTTTCTAAAATAAATCAAGATAAAACATATTTCAATTCTGAACTTTTTTACGTAGACTTCGTGCGTCACATTGTTGAATCTCAATTACAGAAAACAATATGCATTGACGTAATGTGAATAAACCTGTCCAAAAAGGCATATATTGAATACATATGAAGCCAAAAAATAAATACACGTGTGGCTGTTGTAGCCCGACTTGACATTTTAGACCCTGCTTGTAACTCGTAGCCATTTTTAACTCGATAGAGACTGTGACTGCCGGGGTAAACAAAGTATACACCAATGTTTGGGGTGGCTAAATATGAAACAAACAAAAACGGTTTTTTATGATGTATTTGATGCCAGTACCCGATTCTGGACCTTGAGTTTACAGTGTACAAGCGACTGTTTTCAGCCTAGTAACGTTTTGATCCGTTTTTAAGTGTATACTTTCTTTAGCCCGGCAGTTTCGTTTAAGATAATGTTACAAAATGCTTCCTGTGGAATAATCAACACCTTGGTCTAATATCGGCACACCGTTTGTCTTAAACTACGGATAAGTCGATACATGTGTGACTCGATTTAGCTGTATTAAACAAAATGCACTACCATTAATCCTTACCTAACTACCTACGACCATAGCACCTGAAACACTGGTTTGTTTTGTATGCCTAACCAAAAAAACATTTCGAGGAAATAAGTTAAATGCATTTCAAGCCTAGCTTATTGTCCACGCACTGTATATTTAATGTCCCCCAACATTATATAGACGCAAGCAGTATTGGTACACAACACTAGGTGGAAGCATGGTGGTAGAAGACTAGTATCTACGACGTGATTAGCCATTTGTTCTTTGTGGAGATTATACGTTAATCAGCAGGGCTGTGGGAACATTGAAGTCCTCCAAGACATATACAGTTGGGTTACAAAAACAGTTTGCAAAAATACAAAAACATTTGGGAGTTATGGGACTTCTCTCCCTCAAAGAACAAATCCATGGCATTGGCATGGCATTATCTGACACATCGACGTTTCTTCAGGAGAGAACACAAAGTCGACATTTCTTCAGTAGAGAACACACTATCGACGTTTCTTCAGTAGAGTGCACACGAAGTAGACATTTCTTCTGTAGAGAACACAAAGTCGACATTTCTTCAGTAGACAACTTACTATCGACGTTTCTTCAGTAGAGTGCACACAAGTCGACATTTCTTCTGTAGAGAACACAAAGTCGACATTTCTTCAGAAGAGAACACACTATCGACGTTTCTTCAGTAGAGTGCACACAAGTCGACATTTCTTCTGTAGAGAACACAAAGTCGACATTTCTTCAGAAGAGAACACACTATCGACGGTTCTTCTGTAGAGAACACAAAGTCGACATTTCTTCAGTAGAGAACTCACTGTCGACGTTTCTTCAGTAGAGTGTACACAGGTCGACATTTCTTCTGTAGAGAACATAAAGTCGACTCCTCTTCATTTGAGAACACAAACAGTGTCGGCAAGATATCAACATCAGAATAAATTGTTTTAGCAGTTTCGAGAGTTGTATAAAAGTGTTTCCATTTCAACTATGAATCGCATTTCCTCACATATATCAACATGGAATGTAGGAATGTAGGAATCATTTCACTGAGAAGGTCATGAGAGGTTCAACATGCGGTCAGCACATTCAAATCCTCTCAGAGCTATTATCATGTTATTTTGTCCTGAAAGGGCATTGGATTTTTCACATACGATGAATGACAAGGGACACTTTGGGGGCTGTCAGAACTACAGATTGATTATTGAGATTGACAATGGATTTGTCACATGCAATATGAACTATTTCCCAATATTCCAATAAAAGCACAATCGGATTTTAGGGAATGTTGAATGAGACGGATGCTGGAAATTCACATCAGTCAAGAAGATCTTCTGGTTGTATCACACACGCTCTATCTTCTCTTCAACAGTCGAAGGAACACCCTGTGCTCGTTGTGAGCTTACATCTGAATGTGAATGCTCGCTTTTAGTAATTTTGAATTCGCGTTCTTCAGTCTCGTTGGTGCTAACGACGATATTTTTCACCTTCACAGTCTCCACTGTCTTTACCAGCAAAGCTGATGACGTTTCGTGCACCTCTCTGAAAGTTGTTTTACATTTAGTAGTCGACACAGTGCCATCTCCTTTCGATACGGCAGTGCTAGTATCCTGTTTGACTTTAGTAGCACTGGTGTTGTCCAATGTGACTGGGGCGGACATTGTGATGATTGGTACATTTGTAGGACCTTTGTTCGCTGACTCCTTAGCCGATTTGTCATTTGAAACAATATTATCAATAACATCAGCATCAGATTCCTTCACGATGGGAAGAGAATCATCCTTTGATTTGAAACCATCCGATGTCTCCACTTGTTGGACACAATATTCCTTTACTATTGGAATGGGCACAGCATCTTTTTGTGAATCTTTCCTTTCATCCTTAGCAGTAGTTGGGAGTTCTTCCTTATTCTTTAGATCGTCGTCCTTTGGACGGGTATTTTCAGTATCCCTGACAATCTTGATACTGACGGGACTTTTATCAAGCTGTACTTGAACATCATTGTCACGAATGGAACTTTCGTCAGGTGTCGCGACTTTGGGAGTTTCGGCAGACTCAGGCAACAGGGCATCTGTGGAGTTAGGAGAAGTGCTTCTATTGATGTCAGAAGATCTGGTCTTGTGTCTCGGTGTTGGGCGTTTGTGGGGCACACATACATAGACAGGGCGGTAGAGAATCTCCTTGTCTGTGTCCGAATCTTCATCATCTCCCATATACACCTGGCCAAGCTGGAATTCCGAGCTGATGTACATCCCTCCCTCAACGTAGTCGGCTGCTACATCTGAGACAGTATAAAACTCAGGTGAAACTCGAAATCATGTAACCTCGGATATATGGAACTCGAGTTATATCGAATCAATTCGTTAAGTTCGTTTTTAAACTTGTTCGATAACATGTGTTACCACTTCTTATGAATTTAAATGTGGTTTGTCATAACAAACTATTTGCTACATCGAACTTCATTACATCCAGAGGATGCTCACGTGTGGTCTCAATGAAGTCTACGTCTTATACGTATTTTGTAAGGAAGTGAGTGGATTCGGTTCAACCCCGCTTGAGCAGTATTTCAGTTATGTCATGGCATGTCTTAATATATTTAAAGTGGGATGAAATTCCAAAGTGATGCAAGTCACATTTGTTTTGGTGAAATCCGCTAGCATAGTATGGCGCTGACTGACCCAAAATTTAATCAATTGTCAGGTTTTTGCATGAAAATATCAGAAAATTGTTTTTATTGGAATATTGATATGGATAAGTGAAGTTTAACTCAGGCTTAGTTGGTATCAGGTAGTTTAGGGGAGAGATTCCTCACCCCTATTGAATGTCATTCAGCCGAAGTAGATGATTTCCTAAAATAAACCTTTCTTCAAATAGTGAGTGAGTGAGTTGGGTTTAACGCCGCTTTTAACAGTATTCCACTTATATCGCTGTGAGTCAACTTAATGTGGGAGTAAAGTCCAAAGTGATGCAGGTCTCAGACGTTTACCACTTCGGTGAAACCATCGAGCATGGGTATGGTGCTGACAAACCTAGAAATATAATCGGGGCGAACCGGATTCGAACCCACAATCATAGGTTTCTGGCGTGCCCAAGGGACGCAACTCTGCACAGCGAATCGCGGCGCCTTAGACGACTGGGCCACCCGTGCCCCCTTCAAATAAGTTAGTTCACAAATGGTTCTGGGATTTCTTGGCTGTGTGTCTAGGGAATAGTTCTTACCATATTGTATTTCCGGTATGGGGTTGCTTGGGATGCGGAATGGAACTGTTGCTATGGTAACAGGCATCTCTACTTCTAAGGCATCACCAGATTTCTCCATCCGCAAACACAGCTGTATAATGAACATATGTCTATTTATAGGAACGCATTTTCACAGTGAACACATTTATGCTTAAGTAATATGCTGATAACATTATGAACATTTCAGATGAAATCCATATCAGATGTAAACATTAGTTAAACCTCTGTTTTGTTTCATTGTAGTTTCTACCCTAAGACAGAGTTACCTACCCTGAACGTGTACTAGATCTGAACCATACACAACTATCATAGCAGAATTACCTACCGTGATTGTAAGGACAGTCTGGAAGTTTAACACATCCATCATGACACAATTACCTGCCCTACATAGAGTTACCTACCGTGATTTTGTAGTGAATCTGATCCAGGCCATGCATGTCCATAATGACGGAATTACCTGTACTACATAGAGTTACCTACCCTGATCGTTTAGTAAATCTAAACCAGGCCACCCACATCCACCATGACAGAATTACCTATTCTAGATAAAGTTACCTACCCTGATCGTGAAGAAATCTGATCCAGGCCACCCACGTCCACCATGACAGAATTACCTGCCCTACATAGAGTTACCTACACTGATCGTGCAGTAAATCTGATCCAGGCCACCCACGTCCACCATGACAGAATTACCTGTACTACATAGAGTTACGTACCCTGATCGTGCAGTTAATCTGATCCAGGCCACCCACGTCCACCATGACAGAATTACCTGCCCTACATAGAGTTACCTACCCTGATCGTGCAGTAAATCTGATCCAGGCCACCCACGTCCACCATGACAGAATTACCTGTACTACATAGAGTTACCTACCCTGATCGTGCAGTAAATCTGATCCAGGCCACCCACGTCCACCCTGACAGAATTACCTGCCCTACATAGAGTTACCTACCCTGATCGTGCAGTTAATCTGATCCAGGCCACCCACGTCCACCATGACAGAATTACCTGTACTACATAGAGTTACCTACCCTGATCGTGCAGTAAATCTGATCCAGGCCACCCACGTCCACCATGACAGAATTACCTGTACTACATAGAGTTACCTACCCTGATCGTGCAGTAAATCTGATCCAGGCCACCCACGTCCACCATGACAGAATTACCTGTACTACATAGAGTTACCTACCCTGATCGTGTAGTAAATCTGATCCAGGCCATGGACGTCCACCATGACACAATTACGTATCCTACATGGAGTTACCTACCCTGATCGTGTAGTAATTCCGATCCAGGCCACCCACGTCCACCATGACAGAATTACATGTACTACATAGAGTTACCTACCCTGACCGTGCAGTAAATCTGATCCAGGCCACCCACGTCCACCATGACAGGATTACCTGTACTACATAGAGTTACCTACCCTGATCGTGTAGTAAATCTAATCCAGGCCATGGACGTCCACCATGACACAACTACGTATCCTACATGGAGTTACCTACCCTGATCGTGTAGTAATTCCGATCCAGGCCACACAGGTCCACCAAGACAGGTTTACCTGCCCTACATAGAGTTACCTACCCTGATCGTGTAGTAAATCTGATCCAGGCCGGACACGTCCACCATGACAAACTTACCTGTTATACATAAAGTATAATCCTCAGCATGCTGTAGATCTGGGCCACAAACATTTATCCTACCAGAATTGCCTGCCTCACATTGGGCTACATGCCTAAAGCGTGGTGCAGATCCCAACCACACACATTTATCATTGCAGAATTACCTGTCCCACACATAATTACCTACCCTGAGCGTGTAGTAGATCTGTACCAAGCCACGCACCTCCGCCATGACACAAATACCTATCCCACATAGAGTTACCTACCCTGAGCGTGTAGTAGATCTGTACCAGTCCACACACATCCACCATGGTTGGGGGCATGATAGGCACCTGCAGCTGATGCCAGAGGTCATCCAGACTTGTAGTGGTGTGGGGCTCTATATGGGGACTCTCCACCTGCATCACCGTATGTCTCAGCTCCTTGGACAGCCCCAGCACGCCACGGTTGATGAAATATTCCACGTACTGAAACAAGATGAGAGACTGATAATAAAGGAATTGTTTGATCCACTTGTAACTCAACGTCCGTAGTAATTGTATTTAACATCTTTGTGTACATACCTCCGTGGCGTTGTGGATAGAGTGTCCACCGGAGAGTGAAAGGTCGATGGTTCGATCCTATCACCTGGGTGCATCATACCAAAAGACGTTAAAGGATGGCACTTGTTACCCTGTCTAGCGCTCGGAAATAAGGGTATTAAGCAAGGACTGGTCGGCTTGGGGTTGGGTATCCAACTGCTGCATGGTATGTCAGTAGGTTCGCATTATACAACAAACACACGTCAGTACAAGTACAAGTATTGCCCCATAGACAAAAAGATGCATTCACGTCACTATGTGAATGAACTAATCTTGAACGCGACGTCAAACCCCATTTAACCACACCTCATATTGTAGTTTCCGTTTCATACAAGCCACGAATCAAATGTACATACCAGCAAATATATCCTGAAGTTACTTCTACAGACCTAGCCCTGAACCACACATCTACAAACGTATCCTGCAGATATTCAACCTGCACGTTTCTTCATAAACAGCCCTGAATAACATATCTACAAAAGTATCATGAAGAAATATAACCTGCATCTTTCTACACAAACAGCCCTGAACCACACATCTAAAAACGTATCCTGAATATACTTAACCTGCATCTTTCTACACAAACAGCCCTGAACCACACATCTAAAAACGTATCCTGAATATATATTAACCTGCATCTTTCTACACAAACAGCCCTGAACCACACATCTACAAACGTATCCTGAATATATTTAACCTGCATCTTTCTACACAAACAGCCCTGAACCACACATCTACAAACGTATCCTGAATATATTTAACCTGCATCTTTCTACACAAACAGCCCTGAACCACACATCTACAAACGTATCCTGAATATATTTAACCTGCATCTTTCTACAGAAACAGCCCTGACCCACACATCTACAAACGTATCCTGAATATATTTAACCTGCATCTTTCTACAGAAACAGCCCTGACCCACACATCTACAAACGTATCCTGAATATATTTAACCTGCATCTTTCTACAGAAACAGCCCTGACCCACACATCTACAAACGTATCCTGAATATATTTAACCTGCATCTTTCTACAGAAACAGCCCTGACCCACACATCTACAAACGTATCCTGAATATATTTAACCTGCATCTTTCTACAGAAACAGCCCTGAACCACACCTCTACAAACGTATCATGAAGCTATTTAACCTGCAGCGTTCTACAGAAACAGCCCTGAATCACATATCACCAAACACCCTGAAGAGACTTTCTCTGCCTCTTTCTACAGATCCAGCCCTGAACCATACATCAGCAAACACATCCTGAAGAGCCTTAACCTGCATCTTTCTACAGAAACAGCCCTGAATCACATATCTCCAAACATGCCCCTTGAATATAGAAGGGGGAGTTTCCGGACTAATGGGGTTCGGCCTATCGAGGTTTCGCTGAATAACCTGACGACCACGCACCTGCATCATTCTACAGACCAGCCACACCTCCTCGTCACAGCCGTTCTGGATCTCCACCTTCAGCTTGACGTTCTCCCCACAACAGTAGGCAGTCCTCTCCAACGTCCCCTTCAAAGACAGAGGACCCTTGCCACAGCAAAGAATACAGTTGTATCTCTTCGACTCGGCATGAGAAGGCGTCTGTAATGTAACAAACATGATTGTACTTTTCCCGTCAATAAAACCCTTGCGTGACATTGTATGTGTTCCTAGTGTTCTTAAGGATACTTGGAGGGAGCCTGGGATTTTATCGAAAAAAATACATTATCCCAGAAAATGCTTGCAAAAATACTTATTATGCTTCAAACTGCTGAAGAAGAAAATAACATTTTTGCCACAAAAATTACATTGTTGCAATGTGTTTAAAAAGCATTTAGCAAAAATGGAGCAAAAGTTTAAACAAGAGAAGATAACTCTTTCCTGAAAACCCGGACAATCTGCACAAAAATGATCTCCTCGAAACACTCTTTAGTGTGGCAGGTTTTTGTTAATTGTACCGGCTTCATACCTAGTCAACTTATATTGTACCAATGTTGGGATTCGAACACGTGTCTCGGGCTTGACGGCAAATGTAAAAGGATCTAATCGATAAAACACTTTAACGCCTGCCCTGCTTCAACACTGGATACCTATAGTATATCAATGGGGAAATTCGAACCCGAATCTTCTTCCTGACGACCAATGCCCCACGATCTAATCAAAACAACACGATCTCACCTGCCTCACGCCGACCATCATCGGAGCCCTACAATTTACTATAGCAATGTGGGATTTCGAAAACTGGGTCTCCTGTTTGACGACCGATGTAAGAGGAAAAGAATGTAAGATCTGATCGAAACAACAGTGTACTACCTGCAGTGTTAACTACTTGGAACCGCACCTTGCTTCTCCATGCCATTTGAGGTTACCCTTGAATAACTCTGGTAAATCAAGCTATTGGTTATCAAGATTTAGACGATACTATCAGTGGACCTACTGGTATAATAAGATCGGATGTCTGATGAAGCTAGCCGTCGTCTTTGATATGCAACCCAATGCATAAACGTAATCTTACGGCGAAGTCCCGTCGTCAAATAAACGTGCCAGAATCTTATGATCGTTGACATAAACAAACGTCAAACAATTTTCAAATAAATATCTTTAGAAAAATCCACTGGCAGACCCTGGACCCCATGCGATATGTCGACTTTAACTAAGACTATGTAAAATATGTACACCATCGCTTTAGATTGTGATTGTCTGGAGCCAGGTAGAATGTGTTTCTATTCAAGAATTGACCTCTCACAAACTCAAAGAATTTGTTTGATTTTTCGCAATCTCAGAAAATAATCAAACATTTTATTTAACAGCTTTGTAAGCTCTATCATCCCACAAGATAAACTTTAGGAACATCTTCATTTCTTGATCCATTGGGCATTTGTTACGAGACGCCTGGCCTTTGGTGTCTATGTTTCACAACGTTTGAGCGCCATGTGACTCAAGTTCATAAGATTCAGGGCCTAAATTTCCTGTGGAGGACATTTACACATTTGAAGCGTCATTGACACAAAATACTACTTCCAATGTAATTCCCTATTATAATTAGAACCATATGTTACCGTGTTTTTAGGTGAACAATTGACATGCCGTTGCATGTGTTTGTGATGGGTGCAACAGTGGTGCAGGATACGCTTATTTTCGCGAAAACGTGGTCTCATCACTGTTTGATAGAGATTCATAACCTCATGCTCGTGATATAGTCGGAAACTTACAATGGACTGCTTTTATATGATTATGGAATGAATTTTGTCGCTTTTATTTCACTTTTTGTGTTTGTTTGGTTGTTGTGTTACGCCGCACTCAGCAATATTCCAGCCACATGACGGCGGTTTATAAATAATCTGGATCACACAATCTAGTGATTGGCATCATGAGCATCGATCCACGCATTTGGGATACGATGACATGCATCAACCTAGTCAGCGATCCTGACCACCCGATTCCGTTAGTCGCCTCTTTCGACAAACATGGGATGCTGAAGACTTATTCCAACCCGGATCTTCACGGGGCTTACTTTTTGTGAGTTCATTTGAGTATGAACATTCATAGGGTAGAGGCAAAATTGTATGAACGTCGGGTCTTGCTATGTCGGTTCATAATCCAATGAAATCACAAAAAATGAAAGTCAATTCTTAATTACCACTAGTTTATACATACTTTCATTTGGTACGTGTGACTTAAAATAATCCCGGAAAAGGAGAGGTGACACGAGCGTACGTATACTCAAATTTATCTACAGTATTTTTTTTTGCAATTGGGTTGAAGCAAATAAATTTTAAAAAATATCATCCTTATATGAGAAAAGTCTCTTTAGAAATACGCCAGTAGTTCAGTCAAAGTAATATATTTACATCAAGTAAAAGACGTCAAAAGGGCCGACATGATCAACCTGTCAGGAAAGATTTCCAAGGTTGTTAATGAACACTGGCGATTATAGGTGTGAGTCATCATTGATAAATTGGCCAGTTATGCAAAGGTGATAATAAGACTATGTCGAATAGATACTGAGGTAAATTCATAGATTGCTGTAGACTGTAGTCTTCATGTAGGTACGGATCGAGTCGATAGTTTGGGTTGCATTTCTTCCTTTCGTTCCTCAGAATGAGTCGTAGCGAGGATATTCGTGCGTGCAGACCTTTCACAATGTATGCTTGAACAAAGAAATCACGATTAAAGGGTCTAAATGATCAGAGACAAGCCTTCTGTATTTATTCGCGCTTGGGAATTTCCCAGAAATGTGTAAATAGTCCATCGGTGTTTACCTTATTTCAAGAATACAGTCTCGTGAAAAACGTATGAACGTCAAAATGTGTCGTTCATACGCTCATGAACGTCAGTTTCGTGGTCTTGTGACCGCCCCCTCGCGCAATAGAAAAGCCGTATATCGTGTGAACTTAACATCAAACAAATATTTAGAGCTGACATGACGCCTTGCACTAATACTATTGCGTTTCCCGAACACATCAATAATTTACTCGTTGCAATTTACGGTACAGTCAACATAACGTAGTTTGCAATAACTCACCCAATGCTTACTTCCCATCGAGCATGCAGTATTTATGCTGTCCTTTTCATATTCACATATGTATGTGAACGGTTTCTTCTTAACTCAAACATATTACATTGTTGATGATGACAGTGGTTGTGATTTCAGGTGGAAGATAATCTGACATTCCTCTTATCTTATTGATTTAGTGTGCATTATTTAGAGATGAAATGGGTTTTGTGGGTTTGGTCAATATATCTAAGGCAGACCTCCGTCAATGCACTATAAGGGGGTTATACAAGACATGAACGGACGAACTGTATCTGTGGCTAAAGACCATCTGGCTTTTTTAAAGGCGGACTTCACCCCAAGCACTGGTGTTGACTTCTTGATCAAGGCCTTACATTTTGTATGTATATTGTGTGAAACTGTCCCTTGGTCTCTGTTCCGTGCAAAGAAAGTAAAGACTTGAAAATTGGATTTGAACAAAAAAGGACAAACGTTATCAAAACGCTACTTGGCTGAAATCTAAAGTCCAAAACACAATAATGATACCCGTATCAAATACTCTCTCTGAATTTAGATTCAGGACCCCCCCAAAAGCAATGTTTTTTTTAAAAAGATATCTATTCAGATGGATATCAGTGGTAATAACTGTGTGATTGGTGAAGAAATATATATACTTAATGTCGACTTAATCACACGATGATATTCAATACATTTTAGTAGAAGAATGAAAATTGAAGTCAGGCAATATAATGAGAGGACATCTTACAAAATGGCCAACGTTCGACATTCTTAAGAGCCGACTGACTCTTAGGAAAAGAGACATAAACGCGAAATGTCTATCAACCAGCTTCAATTATCTTTCATTATCAGGGTAGAGTTATTTAGGATTTGGGAAACTTAGAGACAAAAATTGGTTTATATCATGAATAAAAGTAGCATAGGTAGCATCTGAAGCATTGGAAGCAAGTAAGAAGCAATAAAAGGCGACGGCATAGATAATGCTAAAATTACATTTCTTCAATGCAATCAAGCAAGATTAGAATTCGTGATTAACTGATATTATATGCTTCCTGGTATCTTGCCAAAAGGGAATTGGCATGGGTGTTCAATACAAATGCAAGCGTCTGGATCAGTGATCGATATTGTGAGCAACGAATCATAGATATTTTTTTAGGAACTGCTGCAAAACCGGATATTTTTGTAAAATACATTGCAACAATGTCATGTTTGTGGCAGACAATTTCTTGTTTTTCCAGGGTCTGAGGCATAATTAATTTTTTTAAGAATTGTCGGGGACGAATTGGGTCTTTTATTCCCAAAAAATTCCAGACCCGCCAAAGAATATCAAAAGGTCGGTCCCATATAATTTGGGGACTCCAGCCCTCCCCTGTTCCCTCAGGTATGCAATGTTGTAGTGCTAGGAACCATTCTTTGTGGAACTAAATTGTTAGTATATGGGTTGTATTTAACACCGCATTGAACAGTATATCATTTGTATCAAGACGTGTCAGCTCGATGTAGGAGAAACGCCCGAAGTGAAAAGGGTTGTTGAAGTTTACCACTTTGATGAAACTCATCAAAAAACTCCGGGAGTAAGGATTTGGTGCTGAATTAACAAGAATCATAATCAGAACGACTCTTGGATTCGAACCCAAGATCAGTGGATCATGGTACGACTAAGGCACACAACTCTTGCACCGATTTGAAACGCCTTCTTGCAGCTGGGCTACTCTTTGTCAATAAGCAATTTGAAAAACGAATACCAAATTGTTATCTTATCATACCCGAAATCAAACTACAAATACAAATACCAGGAATCGTTCGTCCATACAGTCGGTGTGAGGTCCGACCACTGTGAAGTACTTGATTCCCTGCGGACAGGAGGCATATGGAATGTCGATGGTGACCCGGATGTAGTAACGAATTGTGCCGATCTTGCTTTCAAACGAACAGGGGAGAGCACTCTCCGGTAGTTTGAATTCGAACGGATACTTGTGGTTACCTCTCGGTAAGATAGGTATCGGCCCTTCTTCGTTTTTGTCTGGAATAAAATTTAGAAAATGTAATTAGGCGAAGTGTCTCTAAATATTTGACCAGGAGCAAACATTTAAAAGGAAGAAATGAAAGTTTGGTTACCTAGAAAGAAATAACGAGATAATGAAAATCAGCAGGATGTTATGGGAATCAATTACAATGTGAATGTGAAATTTGGACCGATGGAAGAACAGTAATATAAGTAATATAAGTCAACTTTTCATTTTGCCATACAGATAGTATTCGATATTGCCTTAAAAATGAAGAAAGGTTGATTGTTTTGTTTTAAATAAAATGGCGTTGTGACAGAGTGGAATATCTCAATAACCTATCAAAAGAATTATATATAAATATTTCAGTGTGAATGTTTGCAGATGTATTAACAGCGTATCTCAATCACCAGACATCATCACCAACACTGCATTTAGCGCATCCCCATCACTGGAAGCAATGACGAACACTACAGTTAGGTCCGCATCATTGGGTATCATCATCATCTCTGCAGTTAGCACTTCTTTTAGATCGATGGCTTAACACTGCAGTTAGTCATGTTCCCCAACACCGGGTATCACGACTTCCGCTGAAGTCAATTACGTTCCCAAATACCGGTAATCACAGCTTGCACTGCAGTTAGTTATGTCCCCTAACACAGTGTATCACCCCCATCAAAACAGTTAGCATTTCTTTTAGACTGGATGTCATAACAATCTCATTTAAATCAGATCTTAGTTCTCGCTGCGGCTAAACAAAGATCTGAGGACATCCGGGTCACGTCAGACTAACCTTTCACGTACTTTGACCGACCAATGGAATGACTGACAAGAGGCCGACATTAGCCAATCAAAAGGCAGCTTTCTCGTGCTTTACGTTACTAGTTTCAAACTGGCGACTACGTTTCGAAACATATTTTGACAAATTCTCGAATAAAATTTTGAAATCTGAACAAAAGCACATTCTGGAATGGCTAATTGATGACCTAGATTGTATGGATTCAATCGTAAAGCCCGTAACGATAGTTCGGAATACCCTGTGTTAAATGTTTCGTGTTTGCATGATTAGAAAACTCATTCCGACTGTCACTTTCCTGATCTCGTAAGCGACATTGTGATTGGTCGGATGAAAGGTCGTTCTGACGTGGGATGTTTTGCGGTAGTAGAACTAGATATGATTTTAATGAGATTGGATGTCATAACACTGCAGTTAGTTATGTTCCCAAACACCAGGTATCATCACTTGCACTGCAGTTTCGCGAACGCCTGGGGACATCGACAACATCTCAAACGTCCGTATAATGCAGCCCTTCTCATAATGACTTTTGTCAACAGCATCTTGAATAGGCTCTATTTCCTTCTGTACTAACATTCGCTTTTTAAATTCCTGATTCCAAATCCTACCTTTTCCCCAGATAGACTTTCTCTCGTCTATGTAGTGTTCATCTTGTTTAACATGTCGCCTTTCTCCTGCCCGTGTGATTCTCCACTCCGCGTGGGCCTTGCCCCGTATATGAAGACGAATGCCTGGAAACACAAGAGCATGTAGATCACAGGCTAGCCCCGAACACTGGACGATAAATTCAGAAAACAACAAGAACAAAATTTGGCAGCATGGGTGAACCAAAGGTTTTCCAAAGCTTTGCCAATGTGAATTTCCCTATAGATATTGTTAGAAATGTGTCACGCGCAGCGAATACGACCTTCTGATATGGTTTGGTTTCGGATTTCTTTGCACAGCGACAGCTCTGCGATTTTCTCTCTCTTTTAAATGAACCTTTTGTAACCAGTAGTCGTGAAGAGACGAATGAGTGTTGTTAAACCCCGTAATCTTCCAGATATATATATATCATACAGGAGACTTGTGCCGAGAATGTCATCATATTCACAGCCTGGTATCTTAGTAAAGGAACCTTTTGTGCCTTACGTCCGATATTAATCAAATATATTGCAACACTGGTCTTCCACATCTGAAAGGTCACTTAATACTTCTTATTTAAGCGACAAAACCCTTTGAGTAATCATATGAAAGCATTGACCATCGGGCGATTCTGACTATATCACAACTCCCGTGGCACCCGTCACAAACACTTGCAAAGGAATGTTAATTGTTCCCCTGATAAACATCATGTTCATCTGACGTCAAATTTGGAAATGTCTTCCACATGTCATAAAACGTTTTGAAATCTCTACTTTGGTCTCGAATGTAACTTTTGAGCAAGAGTCGTATGATGCTGTTTGAAATCATAGTGGAAAGAGCATGCTCGATTATACCTCAAAAGTTGTGAAATGTAGACATCAAAGGCCGGAGCTGCTGGAATGTTGTTCGACATAAAGCTTAGTGACGTGTGTGTATGTTTAAAGGTTTAAGCATCAAATCCCGTGTTAGCAAATTTCAAATTCCGGAACATAGGGTCTTTTTTTCTGATTTGGTGGAATCTGGTTTATCAAAACATTTTAAAGGAATATAAAAAACATACCCTCTTGTCGATACTGTGGACTCAACAACTGTGTGTAGACCCATCCATCAGCAGAAGCTGTTAAAGACACACTCTTGTTCTGATTTTGTGTAGACTCAATGGTTCCTGACGGAGGAACGTAATTGTAACACCAGTTTTCAGTGTTCGTGTGTTGCGAGTGATAAGGGCCCTCGGCCTGCTTCATTTAGAGCTTGCCTCCAACAAGAGGTGACATAACGTAAACACTTTTCTAAAGCGGCTTTAAACCATACTCCCTCAACCACAGTTGGGCACGAACATATACTATACGAACAAATCAGTAGAGCAATGTTTCAAATATGTTCAATCTGGAGCCTTATATTGCCATCACTGCAATGTGCTATGGGAGTTTTTTAACAAGGACCAGAAAAGAAGATTTACAGTAAATCTTCAAATAAACGCAGCAAATATATTTATTTATTAATTTCGAGAGGTATGGCGTTTACTTGAAGCCAGATATTTGGCTAAGTTTCTTCATTTTTGTTTCAAATGTCTCTCGATGTTTCACAAGTGTTAAGTTTAAGGTGTTGATTCAAGGATAGACGGCACGTCGTTACTGATATGATGTAGTATGACATCCGATAGTTAACCATTGGGTACCGTTACCTGGACCAGCATCTAGTCTCTGAAAAGATCATATTTTCCAGATAAAAACAGTTGTTAAGTCATAGATATGAAATATTACAAAAGGAACCCAGAGACTCTCTTCATTTTCAGCCTAATGCTGCAGTAATCTAGACTTGCCAAATATTTTAGACTTGCATGGGCTGTATTGGATATATTTGTTTCAGGGTCTGTATACAGACTAAGCGTTATTATGCATTACAGGAAGCGATTTGCATGAGACGGATGTATGTGCGCGGGTCTAAATATATCAGGAATGGTTAAAGAGTGCCATTGTCTGTGTAGCCGAGGGGATTCGGGGTTGGAATAGGTCCCCGACAACCTATGCTTGTCGTGAGATGCTACTAGATGGATCGTGTGGTCAAGCTTGGTGACTTGGTTGGTTGCATGTCATGGTACCCCGACGGCGTGAAGCTCTGCTCATGATATCGATCACTGCATTGCTTGGTTTAAATCATTGCCTATGTTGTACATAGTGTTCGTTGTTTAGACAAAACAGGATTAAAATATCGCCGTGTACATCTAGAAGCACAATAGCGATGTTTAAAGGGGTGGTATGGCATGCAAATGGTAATATCCCTGGCTGGGTTCCTGTCTACAGGGTAGTCAGACGGTGGCAGATTTGTCGTAGGCTGCGATTGGACGACGCTAAACATTGTACTCATTGGTCTTCGATATCGTAAATAGACAGTGGCCTACTTGAATTTTTTTGGGTCGTTTATTGACATTCGTATTTAAGGACGTTACGCATACGCACCTATAATCGGATATGGTACATATTTGTACTAATGTTCTAGGCATGCTTAATGCTGTAAGCATTGTGCGCAAAAAAACAGTGGAATCAGTTTAGCACTATTCCTCCGAAAACATAATTATTAAATATGATTTGCTGCAGGCAGAAAAGACAAAGGAGTATTTATGGGCCTCAAGAACTACCGCATTTCACATTTAGAGAAAAAAGGTAAATCTTGCTCCTAAAATAATTGAGAGACTAGTGATATCAAAACTAAATGTGTGAAATGATTTTCTGCAGAAGCGTGTATTTAATTACAAGGCCCAAGTTAAAAATGATCTTGTTCTCGTTTTTATTACGGTTGCAATGCGCAGCGATCACAACATCACCCACTTGTAGAGTGTCGGGCTATCTTCATTTACAAGAGATAATATCAAAATGTACGGACACTTGAAATAAGTATGAAAATAAATAAAAAGTAAAGTCTGAAATTAAAGCAATGAAGAGCTCTAAAAAGTTTCTCATCACAGTTTGGATCATATAGAACAGCGATCGATAAGTTTGGGTTTTGTTCGGTGTAAAATCTGGTTTTGGTATTAGTTCTCTGAATGACCTGTTCGTCCGGATTTATCTTTCCTTGCCTTGACAATACTACATATCTGCTAAGAAGTTTCCTGCCTACTGAGACCTGGTCATTTTGAAAATACGCTTCTGATGAGAAACACACGCAGGAACTGACATGTTAGTGTATGTATGAAACGCAGGGATTCCCGCCCAGCACACTCTAATTAGGTTTCCGGTAATATGCTGCATAAAACATCACGAGCGATTTCGATCATCACCACAAAAATCAATAATGCCTTTATCTATATGTTTACAGGTTGCGTCGAACAAACCATTACATGGGGTGAACATTTTATTATTACATGTTTAATTCAGACGTGCTTTTAAAAAGACAAGAGAAAGAGTACTGAGACTGTTGTGGTCGCTTGTTGCCTTCTGGTTGAAATGTATGCTTGTCACGTTCAGGACAGGTTTGATTCCCAACATAGATGTTTACCGGTATAAGATATGATATTGCTAATAGCAGCGGAAAAAACATACTCAATTACCCGAGAGGATCCGTGGTTGACGTTGCGTGTAAGTCATTTTTAAAAGGTCCTCACCAATTGATTGAGGCGGCTAATCTGATCAGGTGGTCAGGCTTTTGATTTCATAATATCAATCACCGTTTTTTTCTGGTCCAGATTAGATTTTTGCGGAATTTTGCGGGAGAGCGTTAAACAACATTGAGCACGTTCGCTATGCGTCAATATGCGTTTCATCTCCGAAGTTTACCATAAATGGTTCCAGAACGGAAAACAAAGGATGTCATTCGGTTAACTGACTTTTATACAGGAACTCCATCAGCTGCTGTTTATATTCAATAACACTATGGGTCATCACTTACACTCACAATTACCCAATTATCAGCAACGGTAATTGTTAACAGGAGTTAGGCCATTAATACAATTAAGACACATTTAAGTGCCAGGAACCTTTACCTTAAAGCGATACAGTAATACTTTGTGTCGTGACCTACATGCAAGAGGAAAATGTACAGTACAGAAAAATCAGTCGGTGTTAACACTTTGCCGGTAAGACTGGTCTATTTGGTAAAGAAGCGGTAGAAAGTATGTGTCAAAAATTGGATCGGTGACCAAAAAACAAATAAACACAAAAACGGTTCTTGAGGATGTTGGTATTAGCAGGTTGAAGATGTTTGCTATGTTGATTTTGTCCATTTAAGAATTCAGAACTGAATCATCTGATACAGTGAAACCCTTTGAAACCGGACCCCTTAATTCCAAAGCACCACTTTCCGGGCGAATGCTGTTAGATAAATCTAAAAAATCATTAAGGACATTACTCTCTACCTATAGTTCGTTAATCCAGATAATCATCCGGAGGTTTTCATTTGGAAAGGTAACATTCATTTGTGTCTTGAAATGAAACGAAAGATATCATGTCACATGACGTCGGGACTGGGAACAGGAATCTCTAGTCATTCGATCGATGGCATTGTTACTATTGCAATAGTGTAAGTATTTTGAGGTATATATATTTTTTTGTTAATAAATCTGTAATTTCATGTTATAACATTTATTGAATATAGAGTGTACGTGTATTGAGAATATTTAAATCAATACACTTGACCAGATGAGCTTAACAGAAGAAAGGGTCACCCATGGAGGGGCCCAGTTGGCATAGGTGTTGGCTTCTATGGTTATGAGTTCGAATGCCAGATCCGCCCTGAGAACGTGTCTAGGTTTGTCAACGCCAAACCCGCGCTCGTGGTAATCGTCTGAGACTTGAATTGCTTCAGGCTTTCCCCCCATATCAAGCTGACACGCCGTGAAATAACTGAAATACTGTTGAAAGCGGCGTTAACGCCACCTCACTCACTCACTGAAAGAGGTATGTGTCATGTTGTTACCTTGAACCCTGATATTTTCAGTGTTTTGCACGATGATTTTCCCCGACAGAATTTCCCCTGCATAGTAGATCTCCTTGTCCAATTCTATGTCGAACTTCCGAATAAAATCCATCTTGAAGTGACCTCTGGTGACACGTCGTCATCCAATCAGTTTGTACAGATCCAACCACGTGACACATTGGTTCAGCAGGGGCCCAACATTTTAGCTTCAAAATGTGCTTTCTGTAAAAGAAAATAATTCATTATGTTAGACCGTGTACACCGTGTAATTTAACTGACTAATTCGAATTTGTTAGGATGATCCATAGATTAATCAATTAATACTATTTAACGTAAAAGTCTCTCTCTCTCTATATATATATATATATAAACATCAATTAATACTATTAACGTGTATGTGCATCATACAAGTCTTGCTGCTAAAATCAATAGAAGTCTGATGTGCTACTCTCTTTCTAGTTAATTACGAAACAGTTCTCTCTTTTTTTTAAATATATCATATGACACATCATAAACACAGTATATTTTTGTATTTAAATGTTTTGTGTGACAACAATAATTATGTGTACACTAAAGTGGATGCATTCACTTTTTGTATTAAAACCTATATATGGTATATTCGTCCCCTCGTGTATGTGTCCTAAAATGAAGTAGGGCTACATACATACGAAATAAGCAAACTTGAGTGTTTGGCCATGGCAGAGCGTGGTGGACTGAAGTTGGTAGCTTGATCTGTTACTGTTTGTATCTCATGGTATATCATATTACATGGGTATGTTTGTCATGGTATGCCATGTTACTCCTGTATTTACGTCGTGGTATGCAGTTACTCATGCATGTATGTCAGATTAGTCGTGTATGTATGTCATGGAATGCCGTGTTACTCGTGTATGTATGTCATTGTATGTCGTGTTACTCGTGTGTGTATGTCTTGTTACTCGTGTATGTAGTCAGATTACTCGAGTATGTTTGTCATGGTATGTCATGTTACTCGTGTATGTATGTCTTGTTACTCGTGTATGTTTGTCATGGTATGTCTTGTTACTCGTGTATGTATGTCATGGTATGTCATGTTACTCGTGTATGTATGTCGTGTTACTCGTGTATGTATGTCTTGTTACTCGTGTATGTTTGTCATGGTATGTCTTGTTACTCATGTATGTATGTCATGGTATGTCATGTTACTCGTGTATGTATGTCGTGTTACTCGTGTATGTATGTCTTGTTACTCGTGTATGTTTGTCATGGTATGTCATGTTACTCGTGTATGTATGTCGTGTTACTCGTGTATGTATGTCTTGTTACTCGTGTATGTTTGTCATGGTATGTCTTGTTACTCGTGTATGTTTGTCATGGTATGTAATGTTACTCGTGTATGTATGTCGTGTGACTCGTGTATGTATGTCGTGTTACTCGTGTATGTTTGTCATGGTATGTCATGTTACTCGTGTATGTATGTCGTGTTACTCGTGTATGTATGTCGTGTTACTCGTGTATGTTTGTCATGGTATGTCGTGTTACTCGTGTATGTTTGTCATGGTATGTCTTGTTACTCATGTATGTATGTCATGGTATGTCATGTTACTCGTGTATGTATGTCGTGTTACTCGTGTATGTATGTCTTGTTACTCGTGTATGTTTGTCATGGTATGTCATGTTACTCGTGTATGTATGTCGTGTTACTCGTGTGTGTATGTCTTGTTACTCGTGTATGTTTGTCATGGTATGTCTTGTTAATCGTGTATGTATGTCATGGTATGTCATGTTACTCGTGTATGTATGTCGTGTTACTCGTGTATGTATGTCTTGTTACTCGTGTATGTTTGTCATGGTATGTCATGTTACTCGTGTATGTATGTCGTGTTACTCGTGTATGTATGTCTTGTTACTCGTGTATGTTTGTCATGGTATGTCTTGTTACTCGTGTATGTTTGTCATGGTATGTAATGTTACTCGTGTATGTATGTCGTGTGACTCGTGTATGTATGTCTTGTTACTCGTGTATGTTTGTCATGGTATGTCATGTTACTCGTGTATGTATGTCGTGTTACTCGTGTATGTATGTCTTGTTACTCGTGTATGTTTGTCATGGTATGTAATGTTACTCGTGTATGTATGTCGTGTGACTCGTGTATGTATGTCTTGTTCCTCGTGTATGTTTGTCATGGTATGTCATGTTACTCGTGTATGTATGTCGTGTTACTCGTGTATGTATGTCTTGTTACTCGTGTATGTTTGTCATGGTATGTAATGTTACTCGTGTATGTATGTCGTGTGACTCGTGTATGTATGTCTTGTTCCTCGTGTATGTTTGTCATGGTATGTCATGTTACTCGTGTATGTATGTCGTGTTACTCGTGTATGTATGTCTTGTTACTCGTGTATGTTTGTCATGGTATGTAATGTTACTCGTGTATGTATGTCGTGTGACTCGTGTATGTATGTCTTGTTACTCGTGTATGTTTGTCATGGTATGTCATGTTACTCGTGTATGTATGTCGTGTGACTCGTGTATGTATGTCTTGTTACTCGTGTATGTTTGTCATGGTATGTAATGTTACTCGTGTATGTATGTCGTGTGACTCGTGTATGTATGTCGTGTTACTCGTGTATGTTTGTCATGGTATGTCATGTTACTCGTGTATGTATGTCGTGTTACTCGTGTATGTATGTCGTGTTACTCGTGTATGTTTGTCATGGTATGTCGTGTTACTCGTGTATGTATTTCGTGTTACTCGTGTGTGTATGTCTTGTTACTCGTGTATGTTTGTCATGGTATGTCTTGTTACTCGTGTATGTATGTCATGGTATGTCATGTTACTCGTGTATGTGTGTCGTGTTACTCGTGTATGTATGTCATTGTAAGTCGTGTTACTCGTGTATATATGTCATGGTATGTAATGTTACTCGTGTATGTATGTCGTGTTACTCGTGTATGTATGTCGTGTTACTCGTGTATGTTTGTCATGGTATGTCATGTTACTCGTGTATGTATGTCGTGTTACTCGTGTATGTTTGTCATGGTATGTCATGTTACTCGTGTATGTATGTCTTGTTACTCGTGTGTGTATGTCTTGTTACTCGTGTATGTTTGTCATGGTATGTCTTGTTACTCGTGTATGTAGTCAGATTACTCGTGTGAGTATGTCTTGTTACTCGTGTATGTAGTCAGATTACTCGTGTATGTATGTCATAGTATTTCGTGTTTCTCATCAATGTTTGTCATGGAATGTCGTGTTACTCGTGTATATATGTCACGGTATGTTGTGTTACTCGTGTATATATGTCACGGTATGTCGTGTTACTCGTGTATATATGTCATGGTATGTCATGGTTGTCTTTTATTCGTTGTCATATGATTGTGCCTAGTATCTTATTGGAAAACCTCATGGGGTCGTTTATATATACTACTTAAAAGAAGTTAAAGAACACCCGATTTTTTATATGACTACAATTACTTTGTTATGGCATTAGGGAGCCAAGTCGTCTAAAGCGCCGCAATTCGCTGTGCAGAGTTGCTTCCCTTAGGCACGCCAGAAACCTATGATTGTGGGTTCGAATCCCGGTTCGCGCTCGTAGTTTTGTGCTCGTGGGTTTCACAAGAGGTAGTAAACGTCTAAGACCTGCATCACTTCGGGCTTTCCTCCCACATCAAGCTGACACGCTGTGACACAACTGGAATACTGTCAAACCAAACTCACTCGCTGTTGATGGCATGATAGATTAACTATAGTCATGTGAAAAAATCAGTTATTCAGACATGATATATCAACTATAGTCATATGAAAATATCGTGTATTCTTTAACTTCTTTGGAGCATAGATACCGCATGGACAGTTGTACTGATAAGGGTATCTTTGCAAGTAAAACAGTCTCGTTTCGGTTTTACACGCTGCTTTAATTGAACATCCCCAACATGTATCTAGAAGATAACGATTCATTCCATCAGCAATATTATGTTCTGTCTCATACACGACTGCCTAGCTATCCCATCCAAACAACCCCACAAACACTCCCCTGTTCTTACCCCCTCCCCCCTAACATGACCCCCAACCACATCCCTTCCCGACACTTCTACCTACACATTACCCCTATAATATCCCCTCCCCCGACTCCGCCACTTCATCCCACACACAACCCCACAAACACTCCCCTGTTCTTACCCCTTTACCCCCTAACATGACCCCCAACCACATCCCTTCCCGACACTTCTACCCATATAATACCCCTCCCCTCCCCCACTTCATCCCCCAATCAACCTCGCACACACGCCCCTGTCCCCACCCCTTCCCCACAATAACATGAACCCCACCCCTCCCAAACATCTAAACCCACACCTTACCCCTATAAATCTCTCCTCCTCAAATCACACGAACCAAATGCAACGAAATGAAGAGGTTTTGCCTCGGTTCGGTTCGATTTCTATCATGTCACAATAGCACCGAGCAATGAAAACACGATTGTTAACGCTCTTAAGATAAACCAGCTGGTGACCGGGCAGGCTACCTGACGCTAAGCGTCGTCACGGCTAAACACCTTTGTCGCGCTCTCCTAATACCGACGCAAGTGACCTGGCAGCGGCGGGCTGATCGCTGCGCTGCTAGTAGAGACTAGTCGGTAATTTCGTTTCCTTGGCCTGAGTAGCAAAGTGTGAACACTCGGAGAGAAATGTTTGGGGTTATGGGTCACGTGACCAAACTGATCGATTTTCGTGTAAATGTGATGGTTGCTTAGCAACGTTTGGTAATTCTGATGATCAAGTGTCAATACTCTTCGTCCGTAGCAACAATAAGTAGGGACACGCACCAAAGGTCACATGAGGTGTCGTGTACACACAGCCGACTGTCGCACAAGACAGGAGTTGATTCAGCACCAGTGTCAATAAAGGATTCAGTATCAGTGAGAATATAGGATTCAGTATCAGAGTGTATATAGGATTCAGTATCCGTGACAACAAAGGATTCAGTGTCAATGTGAATAAAGGATTCAGTATCGGTGTGGATATAGGATTCAGAATCAGTGCGAATATAGGATTCAGTGTCAGTGAGAATATAGGATTCAGTATCAGAGTGAATATAGGATTAAGTATCAGTGAGAATATAGGATTCAGTATCAGAGTGAATATAGGATTCAGTATCAGTGACAACATAGGATTCAGTGTCAATGTGAATATAGGATTCAGTATCAGAGTGAATATAGGATTCAGTATCAGAGTTAATATA